AAATCCTCGGAAAGCTTGAATCCAAAGTATTTCTGGAGTTTGACTTCAATTTATATGTAATTATTGTTTACTATTATTACTACTTCATTATTATTTTTTTATTTTTATTATCGTTATTATAGAGCTGTCATATTTCGGTCGACATTAACACTAGGTTTACGGGCATTTTATATATACCTGTTTCTACGAGCATCCGTCAAATTGACGGGTAAACGAAAGCACGGATTTTCTTTAAAAAATCGATTTATTCAAATTAAGTCTGAATGAAACGACACTAGGCTTTACGTTTAAATGGATTATTATTAAGTAAACAGTCCTTTTTTAAAAAATACCACGGAAATCATTGGAATGCTCGTCCTCTCATCCTTGGAGTCAGAACTAGAAAGAATGCGCATCCTTTTCTTGCTACGACACCATTTCAAGAAGTTTTCCTCTTCCCTATCCGAAGATCCTTCTATCTTTCCACTTTCTATGCAAACTTTCACTCTCATCTTCGCCTTACACTCTCTGCAACGAAGCAAATATGTATGGATTGTTTATGAAATTAGCTAGTCCGTCAATTTGACGGGTTTCGTAGAGATAGGTATACTACGTACAGATTTTAATAATTAGAAGGCTTAGGAAAAAATAATTGTGTCTACAAATTCTTTGGATGAAATGATTAATTTACGATACAAAAATGGTTAAAATTAATGCTATGGATTTTTCGGTATTTCTTTTCGAAGTTTGAATTCCGTCAAATTGACGGGTCCCGTAAACCTAGTGTTAAATTATTGAAAGCTATAATATGAGAAACGAAAGGGTTAGAACAATTGTATAACAATTTTGAACGCTCTGATAATCGATAAACTCGCATTTAAATGGGGTAAAATCAAAAAAAGTGTCTTTCGCGCTTTTAAGCTAAAACGATGGTAATACCAGGTCTCCGAGTGAACGTTTAGTTGTCACGGAAATCACAGATGGCGCAGGATGACCCTCAGCAGTCAATTAAATCTTCGGAAAGCATAAATCCAAAGGATTTCGGGCGTTTGACATCGATTAATATGTAATTATTGTTTACAATTATTACCAATTTATTATTTTTGAATTTTTATTATCGTTAATATCGAGCTGTCGTATTTCGGTCGATATTAAATTATTTAAAGCTATAATATGAGAATCGAAAGTGCTAGAACAATTGTATGACAATTTTAAACGCTCTGGTAATCGATAAACTTGCATTTAAACGGGGTAAAGGCAAAAAAAACGTCTTATGCGCTTTTGAGTTAAAACGATGGTAATACCAGATCTCCGAGTGAACGTTTAGTTGTCACGGAAATCACAGATGGCGCAGGACCTTCATCAGTCAATTAGAGCCTCGGAAAGCACAAATCCAGAGGATTCCTGGAGTTTGACTTCGATTCATATGTAATTATTGTTTACTATTATTACTAATTTATTATTTTTTAATTTTTATTACCGTTATTATCGAGCTGTCGTATTGCGGTCGATATTAAATTATTGAAAGCTACAATATGTGAAACAAAAGGGTTAGAACAATTGTATGACAATTTAGCACATTCTGGTAATCGATAAACTCGCATTTGGACAGGATAAAGGCAAAAAAAGTGTCTTTCGCGCTTTTATTCTAAAACGATGGTAATACCAGGTCTCCGAGTGAACGTTTAATTGTCACGGAAATCACAGATGGCGCAGGATGACCCTCAGCAGTCAATTAAAGCCTCGAAAGCACAAATCCAGAGAATTTCTGGCGTTTTACTTCGATTTATATGTAATTATTGTACGAAAACCACAGGTGGAGTATGGTTTTTATATAGAGAGCTATGTCGAATTATATAAAAACCAACGTCGCCAACGTAGGTATCTAGCAAAATCTTCTTTACCGACATCTATCAAGTTCCTCGCCGTGCTTCACATCACATTAAAGAGATTAATTATACGAGAAGCGATTTATGCTGAAACAACCGTCAATGATGTATCTGACGTGAAAGATGCAAATGGCGATCGACTAATGAAATTCGTTATCAGTGCGGAAACATTCCTCGAGTGAGCTATTTACTGCTTAGATATGACATCGCTAATCGTTCTAGGTAATGCCATTCGATGTTGATAACATTCCTTGGAGAAAACGCAAAAGGTGTAGCGGTATCATCCTGTATAATCCAGTTTACACCAGGCTTCAATGAATTGCACTTTACTCCCCTTGATGCAAGTTTGCAGTATGACGATGTAAAGACGTAATCTTTAATTAATTAAACCTTTTTTACGGGATTACTATGGTGCAGTGAAACGCTTCGACGAACTTGATCGACGTCGGTAAAGAAGATTTTTCTAAATGGCTACGTTGCCGACGTTGGTTTTTATATCGACAGCTGGGTCGAATTATATTGGATATTGTACCAAATGGCATCCGAATTATATTGGATATTGTACCAAATGACTCCACCTGTCGTTTTCGTACAATAATTATAAAGAAATCGAAGTAAAACTCCAGAAATCCTCTGGATTCATGTTTTCTGGGGCCCTAATTGACTGCAGAGGGACACCCTGCGCCATCTGTGATTTCCTGGTCAATTAAATTTTCATTCCGAGACCTTGTATTTCCATCGTTTTAGCATAGAAGCGCATACAACACTTTTTTTGCCTTTATCCCGTTCAAATGCGAGTTTATTGCTTACCAGAGTGTTCTAAATTGTCGTAAAATTGTCCTGACCCTTTCGTTTCTCATATCGGAGCCTTCGATAAATGTATATTGATCGAAATACGAGAGCTATATCATCGAATTATATTGAGTATTGTACTAAATGGCATACTCCACCTGTCGTTTTCGTACAATAATTATAAAGAAATCGAAGTAAAACTCCAGAAATCCTCTGGATTCATGCCTTCTGGGGCCCTAATTGACTGCAGAGGGACCCCCTGCGCCATCTGTGATTTCATTGTCAACTAAATCTTCACTCGAAGACCTAGTATTACCATCGTTTTGGCATAGAAGCGCATACAATACTTTTATTACCTTTATCCCGTTCGAATGCGAGTTTATCGATTACCAGAGTGTTCTAAATCGTCATAAAAGTGTCCTCACCCTTTCGCTTTTCATATCAGAGCCTTCGATAATTGTGAATTGATCGAAATATGAGAGCTCGACGCCATTTTGATTCTGGTCTGGGCTGAGTTAAAGAATTTGTTCCAAAAATCCAAATTTTGAATGTGTCAGGACAATTCTTGCAATTCTTATTCTTGTTAGATTAGGACAATTCTTACAATTCTTATTCTTCTTAGATTAGGACAATTCATACAATTCTTGTTCTTGTTAAATTAGGACAATTCTTATAATTCTTATTCTTGTTAGATTAGGACAATTCATACAATTCATATTCTTGTTAGATTAGGACAATTCTTATAATTCATATTCTTGTTAGATTAGGACAATTCTTATAATTCTTATTCTTGTTAGATTATGACAATTCATACAATTCTTATTCTTGTTAGATTAGGACAATTCTTACAATTCTTGTTCTTGTTAAATTAGGACAATTCATACAATTCTTATTCTTGTTAGATTAGGACAATTCATACAATTCATATTTTTCTTAGATTAGGACAATTCATACAATTCTTATTCTTCTTAGATTAGGACAATTCTTACAATTCATATTCTTGTTAGATTAGGACAATTCATACAATTCTTATTCTTGTTAGATTAGGACAATTCTTGCAATTCTTATTCTTGTTAGACAATTCTTACTTCTTGTTAGATGATCAGGAGTGATGTGTCAACGTTCCGGACAGTTTGGTCTAATACCCTTAAAAAAGTCGACTAATTTTAAGGGGGTTTCACTTCCCCTTAATCCCTGATTAAGTGCGCGTTTAATCGCTCTCCGTTTCATCATCTCCGTTAATACGTTACTAAGTCCACGTTTAATCGGGTGCGCGTGCAATAAATCGGAGCCTGCCGTAGAATTGAGTTCGACGAAGATTCTATTTTCGCAATGTCGCCGAGACACTGCCAAACTAATCCATATCTAAGCCCCACGTGAGAGTGACGCTGAAATCGCACATCGGGACGCCTTCGAATCACGGCTACACGTGCCTATCAAGTGACAGACTGATGATAAAGCGAATTAAACGTAATTGTCGCGAAAGCACGCGAGTTGTTAGCTTATCGCGGCGGGCGTGAGATGCGATGTTTACCGACCGAGTTTCCCCCATCGGTTCGGGTCCTGTACAAAGGAACCATAGACGGAAAAAAATAATTCGGGGGTATTAATTCTACGGTTTCCGTGGCGCCAAGGTTTGACAGTTGGTTATGGTTGTTTATGGTATGAACAAACATCATCTAAGAGGAAAAGTTGATATCTCAATTAGTTTGGGAGATATTAATTATTTTCTTTAATGTTATATATTTGAATTTTTTTTTATAACTCAAATACTGTGCGAGATACGTCAGTATTTCATATAACCTTTTTGATAGAGAATATGATTATCTACAAAAATGGTGATATGCATTTCGATCGTATCTCGCATAGTTTATTAGATATCACGGATTTAGTTGAAAATATCTGACACAACGATTGTCAATTGTTTCAAAGAAATGTGTAAGATACCAGTGAACGGCATACAACCTTTTTTGTAGGGAATTCAATTTTCTACAAAACTGCTTGTATGTATTTTTTTGTACCTGCCGTAGTTTTAGAGATATTTATTATTTTCTTTAATATTAGATATTTGANGAAATCGATGTAGAACTCCAGAAATCCTCTGTATTCATGCTTTCTGGGGCCCTAATTGACTGCAGAAGGACCCCCTGCGCCATCTGTGATTTCCAGGTCAATTAAATCTAAATGTTTACGGTATTATCATAGAAAATGAGAAGAAGCAATTTGAAAAATTCATATATTATATTTATTGTTTGAATACTTTTTAAATAAGGGTACGGTAATAAAACGAATTTTGAGTGTTTTTCTTTTTCGAGTCAATAAACCAAAAAGTCCACTTACCCGATTGGTGTAGTTTCCTTAAAAGCGGTTTCGGATCCATATTTCTGATTTTTCTCCGTCGCGTTTCTCGTGGGACTGGTGTGCAGTTCCATCTGAAAACGCAGAAAAATTCGATATAATATCATGGGTTAGAAAAAGTAATAATAAAATAATACAATCAAGATGACGGAAAAAAAAAAAGAGTAGTTAGGAAAACCACAAAATGTGGGAAATACTTCCACGAATGATTGCAAGGGCTTGTCTCGTGGCTAACCTGTGCCTTTAGAGCAAAAATTTAGTTCAAGCTAAACGTCACAGATGGCGACGCTGGTACTACACAGTCGTCAGAATAATGAATTCCCGGGATTTAGACAGTTTAACATCGATCTCTTTATCATTACTTTACCGAAATGACGTATGGAGCGCTTCATTTCGCATAATTGTCAACATAGATTGTAAAAGACTTCATGATAAATATAAATGTCGGTAACGTGACGCACCAAATTTTGTTACTATTTGAGTATCTAAAATGGCGTTACCACCGAAAAGGGTATATTTTAAGATTAATGACATATGGAGCGCTTCATTTCCCATAATTCTCAACATAGATTGTAAAAGATTTCAAGATAAGTATAAATGTCGGTAACGTGACGCGCCAGCTTACGTTACCATGTGAGTATCCAAGATGGCGTTACCACCGATAGAGGTATAGATGAAGTTTAATGGCATATGAAACGCTTCATTTCGCGTAATTCTCAACATAGATTGTAAAAGACTTCAAGATAAATATAAATGTCGGTAACGTGACGCGCCAGCTTATGTTACTATTTGAATATCCAAAATGGGGTTAACACCGAAAAGGGTATAGGTGAAGTTTAATGGCATATGGATTGCTTCATTTCGCATAATTCTCAAATTAGATTGTAAAAAAATTACAAGATAAGTATAAATGTTGTAACGTGACGCGCCAGTTTACATTACCATGTGGGTATCTAAAATGGCGTTACCACCGAAAAGGGTATAGATAAAGTTTAATGACATATGGAATGCTTCATTTCGCATAATTCTCAACATAGACTGCAAAAGACTTCATGATAAATATAAATGTCGGTAACGTGACGCGCCAGCTTATGTTACGATTTGAATATCCGAAATGGCGTTAACACCGAAAAGAGTGTAGATGAAGTTTAATGACATATGAAACGCTTCATTTCGCATAATTCTTAACATAGACTGTAAACAAATTACAAGATAAGTATAAATGTTGTAACGTGACGCGCCAGCTTATGTTACCATGTGAGTATCCAAAATGGCGTTACCATCGAAAAGGGTGTAGATGAAGTTTAATTTCTCGACGCGTTTCACTTCACCTTTAGGCCCTGACTGAATGCCACGGAAAGTCAAAAATGAGAATGAAGGCATCTTAGCGCCAACTTTTTACGTTGTTGGCTTTCGTCACTTCCGTTTTGTGCCAGACTAGCGATATAACGAGGAAGCTTTCGGTGTACCTCTGCCAGCAAGATGCATTCACAAATTGAATGACACGTCCATGACACGTCGTAAACTATCCCAGACTGAACTGTCGAAACTTCCGGCATCAATTCATTTGCCAATCGTATTCTTTCGACACTTTTAATTGTCGTCAAATCGTCAATTGGGATTGATTAACGTCAGCGTTAAGGTGAAGTGAAACACGTCGAGGAACTTGATCGACGTCGATAAAGAAGATTTTTCTAAATGCCTACGTTGCCGACGTTGGTTTTTATATTGATAGCTAGGTCGAAT